AACGCCGAAGGCGAAAGGCGAGGTACGTACACGAGGCGAGGTGGTCGGGTGAAGTGGAGGCGGAGGCGCAGAAGGCAGCTGAATACCACCGCCTTGCATGGCCAAGGCCATCCTGGGCCACCGCATGTGGCATGATACTGGAGGGTCAAAGTGGCTCTGGCCAGGCACGGTGGTCCATGGCTGCCGTCCGCAGAATCAGTCAACATCGAACATGGAAACCAAATCGGATCGGAATATAAACTAATCTGGCCGCATAACCACGGAGTCGGAATCGACTCGGGTCGGCCGCGCCAATAACTATGCCGTATCCGTGTGCATGGCCAACCCGAACAACCCGGATGCGCAGAAGATCAAAGACGCGATCGGTCTGCGCAACGCCCCCCAAGACCGCCTTGAGGGAGCTGTGCCTGTCGTCGTTCGGCGGCAGTCCAGACCGCTTTCGTGCGTTCGTGTCGGACAAGGCGGCGGCCCGGGACGACAAGGTTGTCGCCGCCATCGCCAGGAAGGCGTTGGGCTTCTTCCTCCTGCTCGAGAACCAGCACGTGAACGCAGCCACGGCCAAGCCGACCTCGGCCGCCAAGTTGACCGCCCAGAGGAACGAGATGATGCCTCTCTTGTTCGTTACCCTCAAAGCCATGCGCCGCAAGGCCAAGAAGGCGTCGGCACGGAACAGCCTGGAGCACATCATGCTGCGCTCCGAGTTCAGCTTGGACTGGTCTCTGGGCCTCTCGCGCCTCGCCGTCGCTCCCTTCGTGATGGCTCCGCCCGGCCCCGCCGTCACGGCAGTCGTGACTTCCGGCTCCCCCGAAGGCGCGCCGGGCGCGGTGGGTGGGCCCGCTTACAAGCGCCTGCGTGCAGACCCAGCCCAGGGCGGCGGCGGGGCGCCGGGGGGCAAGGGCAGCTGGGCGCCGCAGCAGGGACTCCCGCAGCAACACCAGAACCAGCCGAACTCCTTCGGCCAGAACACCGGCAAGGGCGGCAAACCCCAGGCGCCGGGCACCGGCAAAGGCGGGAACAACAACCACAAGAAGGCCAACGTGACGGCGATGTTGTCGGAGCTCGGGAACATGGTGGGCAAGCAGCAGCCGGCCGCCGTGCAGGCTTTCGTCGACGCCAAGCACCAGGGCTCGCCGGACGACAAGGAGGCGATCAGGTCCATCATGGGCACCTATTGCCGCCACTGTTTGCTCGGGAGCCGGAGGCTCGTCCAGCACAGCCGGGCCCAGTGCAGGCAAGAGGGCGGCGTGCCGGCCACTCCGTGCAGCCGCTGCGCACAGAAGGGGATCGTGGCATTCCACTGGCAGGAGGAATGCAGAAGCTAATGCGCCTGCCGCGCGCGAGCGCGCAGCCCTCCGGCAAACCGAGCGGCATGCCTCACCCCTTCTCTGACTATCTCCCCTGTCCCATCTCCCGCTCGCTTGGCTGGCCGGGTAGCCTGGTGAGCCCACAGCCGTGCCGGTGACAGCTGCAGAGAGGCCTTTCACGTGGCATCTTGCATGTTATAATCCGCGAGCTGGCTTCCCTGCCCCATGAGGGCGAACATGCCCCATGCTATTCGTGCACGTTCGTTCAGATACAGCCTGCGCGCTTGGGCCGGCTGCAGACGAACCACTTCGGCCCTGGCAGGCGGACCGCGAGGAAAAAACAGCATCGCTTGGGCGGGGGAAAGTTTCCAGGCCCCCCCTCTGGTCAGACGTCGTCGTCTTTGCGGGGGAGGGCCCAGACCCCGTTCTTGCCAGTCACGCGCTTGCCTATAACACCCGCAGGCCTACGGCAAACCCCGCCAGGTGCCAGCGCTGTGGCATTGTTTGTTTGTTCGTCGGAACCCTGCCTGACACGCAGCAGAGATGGTCGCGCGCCCGCGCGCGCCGAGTGCGCCGCCGCAGATTTCCGATGCAAGGTAACGAGAAGCCTTTGCCGTGGGACTCCCGTGGACCACCCTTTTGGCCAAATTTCACGGCGACTCTCTCCCTCCGTCTCCCCCTCTCTCTCTCTCTTTCTCTCGCTGTCTGCTCATTTCACGCATACGCATGCACGCATATATGTATAAGTGAGGGAGAGATAACGTGAGGGTGGGGGAGCGAGAGAGATACCGGGAGCGGGGTGGTCTACGAGACACGGGCGGACAATCGGCCTTGTGGACAGGCTTGCACAGGTGCCCATACCACGCGGCCCCGGCGGGGCTGTGGTGCCAGGAAGGAGGAGGCGGGCCCGCCGGGGCTCCACTCAAAAACTATCACTAATTTTACGGATCTCCAGAAAACGCCTTGGACATGGCCGGCGGGCCCGCTCGTGATCCGGGCCGGGATCCCAGGTAGCCAGCAGTTGTGGTGGAATCCGACAGGTAATCAGGCCCGTGTGGGTCCGCTCCTCGAGGCTTCCGCGGCCGACTCCTGGCTAGGTCTCCAGAAAACGTTCTGGGCGAAGTCGCTGGCGGGTCCGCTCCAGGGGACACTCCCCGTCGGCACTGATGCCCCCGGAAAGCGCTCGCGAGGCACAGCGAGAGTGCGGCTTCCTTTAGGGACGCAGGCGACGCAGCGCCGTCTTCCAGCCCAGGGCCCTCCCCTTTTCTCCCGCCCTTGGCCTCCTTCCCTCCCCCCGCCCCCCTCGTCCCTGCAGCCGTCCCGGCTCAAGACCTTGACATGCACCTGTTGAGCGCACCACTGTCTGGCCAGCCAAACTATCCGGCGCCATGGGGTGTTGAGTTGCTCTCAGCACCGTTGCCTGAGAGTCGGTGGGCCGTCCGGCCTCGACCCAGGGCCTTGGATGCGCCTGCCTTGCTGGCCCGCCCCGCGACCAGAGGGCCGCGGGCGCTTGTCGGCGCCCCTGCCGCGGGCGACGTGGCCCTCCAGTTCGCGCCGGTTCGGGGCGACGTTCTGCAAACATCCACGCAGACAAGGGCATTGTCCGCACGGGCCGCGCTCATGGACACCGCGCAAGACATCCTGCGAGCCGGGTGGGAGCAAAGCACGATCCGGACGTACAGCCGAGCGTTGTCCGTGCACGTTCACGGCTTCGAACAGCAGGTCGATTCCAACATCCTCCCGTTGGATTCCCCGGATAAGCTCATGCTCCTGTTCGCCAGCATGGACGGCATGGCATGGCAAACCATACGCCTCAACAAAGCAGCCGTCAGAGCGTGGCACCAGAGCAACAACTACAGCCAGGTCTTCGACGATTGCTGGGACGATCGGGCTTTGCATTTTTGGCGAGGCCTGAAAAAGAGAGCATCCCACGCATCGCACCAAAAACGTGCGATTAGCGTTGAAGAGTGGGCGCTGTTTTGCACGGCCAGGGCGGCAACAGGCACGCCGGCTGGGCGGAGGGATGCAGCTTTCGCGTCGTTTTGCTTTTTCGGCTTGCGCCGCGTTTCGGAGGCGATCAACCTCCGCGTTCAGGACGTGCATTTTAAAGCCTCGTGCGCGTGTTGTTTCATCAGGAAACACAAGAACGACCCGTGTGGCAAAGGCCAATGGTGTTTCATTCCGTTCAAGGTTATTGCTGGGCTATCCCCAGCGAAATTGCTGCAAGATTGGATGGATTGGAAAGCCGCGACGGCAGCTCACGTGCCTTCCCTATTCTGCACCACGACAGGTTCCCAACTCCAGCCTGTTAGCGCGGATTCGTGGCGCAAGGCGGTTTCGTCACACTTTAAGGACCCAGCCGCTAGCACGCATTCGTTTCGTAGAGGCGGAACAGAATGGTTCACGCACGTAGCAAAGATCCCCCTGCACGTGGTCCAGCGGCAAGGTGGGTGGAATTCGGAGGACGTCATGCGTCATACGTACGCCGACACATCCCCAGATACGCTAATGCAGCGTTTCGTCGATAGCCTGGCAGCCTCTTCTGCAGAGCAGACGACGGACCGGCCGACCAAACGCTTGCGAGAGAAGACGGCATCCGTGCGCTCGCTCGGAGGCCCGCAAGGAAAAAATACCGCCGGTTCCCAACACACACCGCTTCGCGGAACACCGCCTCAAGGGGGCCTGCTTCGAGGGGTGATCACCAGGTCGTCTCCTGGCGGCTCCTTCCCTGGTGGGCTGGGGGTACATTCGCCCCCTTGATGCTGGGGAAAAGCATCGACAACGTCGTGAGATTGATCCTATTAGGAGGAAGGCGAAGCTTTTCGGATAGTGGGCGATCTAGAGACGCAGATGCTTCGGACATCAGGGACACGATCAGCATTGCCAGTGCCTACTGTGCTGGCAATGGTCCGCAGGCGGCCTTACCCGGCTTCGTCGGCGCCTACTGTGCCGCTGGGCTAAGGCTCGGGGGGTCACGTCCCCGCGGGGCCGAGTGCCTGCCGTCCGTTGGCAGGGCGCCGCACAGGGCGCATTGCGTCGCAGGGCGTCTCACATGGCGCCCTGCTTCGCACTTTCCTGCCGTCTCGTGGCAGGACGCCTCACAGGGCGCAGGCCGCGTCGCAGAACGCGCAATCGCCCTCCCGCCCCCCCTGCTTCGCGCCGCGACGCGCGCGTAGATGCGGCGAGGGATTCACATACGGCCCGTGCGCGGCCGTTTCTGCCTCAGCTCCCGCTTCCCGAGGCGACGGCCAGCACGGAAGTTTCGGGGGGTGATCACCAGGTCGTCTCCTGGCGGCTCCTTCCCTGGTGGGCTGGGGGTACATTCGCCCCCTTGATGCTGGGGAAAAGCATCGACAACGTCGTGAGATCTATGCACAACAACGCCATGCGAGTATCGGATCGCATCGGATCGCCGCATCATCGGGATCGAATCGGCTCGGGTCGGTCGAGGTCGTAATCGAATCGGACCGATCGGTTCGGAACGGACCCTGGCTATGTGGAGCTGAGGGGGAGGGAGGCGGAGTCGGGTACACGCAAGGGTGAACCTCGGCGCGCAAGCCGCTGCTGCCGCGCCGCGCTCCGCGATCGGGGGACCCCACGAGGCCCGCACCACAGCTCAATCCAGCGAAAGGCCTTACGCCCAGTGACTGGAGGAGGGCCGCGCGAAGCGCCCGTTCGGCCCACCCATTCCCGGGCCTTCCCAGAAGCCCAGCGGCGCGGTGGTGTGCATGGCCTCGGCACCGAACCTCGCGGCCCCCGGAGTGCCCAGGGCCCCGCCTCCCCCCGCTCCTCCTCCTCCGCCTCGGCTCGCAAGGCTCTGTCCTCGACCCCCGCAGGCGTGCGCCAGTCACGCACAAGGGGGTCTGTATAAAACGAGGAGGAGGAGGAGGAGGAGGAGGAGAACGAGGAGGAGGAGGAGGAGGAGGGAGGAGGAGGAGGAGGAGGGAGGAGGAGGGAGGAGGAGAAGGGGAAGTAGACGGAGAAGGAGAAGGAGAAGGAGGAGGAGGAGGAGGAGGAGGACGACGACGACTGGACCAAAAACGCTGGGCCCAACCATGGGATATGTATAGAATGGGGGGGGGCGTCCAGCCTCGACATGCGCCCGACTAGCCCCCTGGGTGTGTATGAAGGGGCCCCAGGACACACAAATAAATACACACAAATAAAAATGTTCCCCATATTTTTTCATATTTTCTGGGTTTGCGTCTTCCCCCCCACTTCCCGTATTTTCCCATATTTTCGGGGGAATCGACGATTAATTGTGTCTGTGTGTTTCTTTCCCTCCTGAGTGTATCTCAGAGTTCCCCCCATTAACTGAACGGCCAAGCTTTTCGGCCGGAACTCGGGGGTCGGGGGGGAGCAAACATCGCCTGCGATCGCATGCCCTACAAATGTCGAACACGTTCTAGAAAGGGGGGGGGTCTCGGGAGGCGCCTGCAAACGCACCCTGGTCCTCATCGGGCTCCACATCGGTCCCTCTATGAGCTCCCAGTGTCGCGCCACCAGACGTGTCCGCAGGCCAGGCCAGGCGATGCGCCGTCGACTCCTTTGAAACTCACGAGCGCCAAGATGACAGAACTCCAACGGCGTCAAGGATGCACGGAACTGGGCTTCCAACACGCGGCTCTTTCCTCAACGCCTGGCGCGCTCGTCTGGAGTACCCGACACCTACAGAGACGGAATGTCGGTCGCTCACAGAATGCGAATGTCGCCTGGACGCCGCGCACATTATTTCACTTCTAAGCGTGTCCAACACATGCAAGGGCGGAGGGCTGGTGCTTTCCAGGCTGCGGCTCTCGCTGTAGGGTTGCTCGCATGTGCTCTGACTACTTCTACCAGTCGCCAAACAGATGGAGGCGTCGTCGTTTCCTACCTGCCTATCTTGCATTAGCGCCGCGCGCGGATCAATTTCGATCGCTCCCAACAACTACAAAGATGGAGGCCGGTTGACTTTCAAACTGCGGTGTTCGCTTGAGCCTGTTATTGGGACCTCGCAAGTGACGTCCGCACATCTCACGACCAGAAATGCAGAACTGTGCAACCCGTGCACGGATGGGGGCCAGATCCGTATCACAATGAGGCCATCGCTAGACACTTCTTTGGACTTTCGGATTCGACCCTGCTGAATTCCCCTCGTATTGAAATCCTTCTGGACACTCTTCTTTGAACATTTGAGTCATCCCTCCTTTGACTTATTGATTTTAACCCTCCTGGGCACCTCCTTCCCGCTCGTGTCGCAAGAGGACAAAAATCGGGTCGGGCGAAAGGGGGAGATAGCAAAGGGGGGGGGGGGGAGAATCAGCTCACGTAGCTGATTTTCCCGGCGCCTCCCAGCGCCGGAGGCGGATATATGTATCGAGGAGTGGGCCCCTCGGTGAGGCCGAAACCAGCTGCATGCAGCAAATTTCGTAACCTTCGTAACCCCCCCTTTCCCAATCCCCCCCTTTCGTCCGGCCCGAGGAGGAGGAGGAGGAGGAGGATGAGGAGGAGAGGGAGGATGAGGATGAGGATGAGGAGGAGGAGGAGGAGGAGGAGGAGGAGGAGGAGGAGGAGGAGGAGGAGGAGGAGGAGCAAAGGAGGAGAGGAGGAGGAGGAGGAGGAGGAGGAGGAGGAGGAGGAGGAGGAGGAGGAGGAGGAGGAGGAGGAAGAGGAAGAGGAAGAGGAAGAGGAGGAGGGAGGAGGAGGAGGAGGGAGGAGGAGGAGGAGGAGGAGGAGGAGGAGGAGGAGGAGGAGGAGGAGGAGAGAGGAGGAGGGAGGAGAGGGAGGAGAAGGAGGAGGAGGAGGAGGAGAAGAAGGAGAGGGAGGAGGAGGAGGAGGAGGAGGAGGGAGGAGGAGGAGGAGGAGGAGGAAAGGAGGAGGAGGAGGAGGAGAAGGAGGAGGAGGAGGAGGAAGGAGGAGGAGGAGGAGGAGGAGGAGGAGGAGGAGGAGGAGGAGGAGAGGAGGAGGAGGAGAGGAGGAGGAGGAGGAGGGGGAGGAGGAGGCGCACTCGCCCGCTTGGCAGGCCCACTGGGCGCTCGTCCAGGGGACGCCGCGCGCATCGGGACAAGGAGCAGGGGCCCTCCGGAGGGGAGGGGGCCCGGGGGGGGGGCGGGCGCGGGCCGGAGGGGGTCTCCGGGAGGGGAGGGCGGGGGGGTCTCCGGAGGGGAGGGGGGGGGTCTCCAGGAGGGGAGTCTCCAGGGGGGGGGGGGACGCGGGCCGGAGGGGGTCTCCGGAGGGGAGGGGGGGGGGGCGTCTCCCCCTGACCTTCCAGAGTGCTAAAAAGTAGCCCTCCAGACCCGGGGAGGGCACGTCGGGCTCGCGTCGTGCAGACTTCGGCGCTGGCCTCTGGCACCGCGGGGACCGCTCAACCTCGAACGATCGGCCGTTTCCGAAAGGTCCGAATCATTCCACGTCGAGCGATTCTGGGTCGCCCGTGCCGTTCAAAGTTGGAAGCTGGTGGCGGGGTCGCCGCCGGTCGACACGACACGAACCTACTGTATGTTGCATCATCGTTGACACATCCTGGGCTCACTCCGGTCCTGATTCCACTCCTCCTCGTCCTCCTCCCCTCCCCCTCACCAAAGCTGGCCGAACGAGGCACCGACGGCTGGCAGGGTGCCGCCCTGAGTTCTGGCCCCCGACCGGGCTGATTGGCTTCGGGGATAGTGTCTGTTCTTCGCGCTGGTTCCGTAGCAAGTTCGTGGAGTGATATTGCAATTGTCGGCTAGGCTACGCGCGTGGGTTTTCACAGCGACCGTGGGTGCTCCCAAGGCATTAGCGACATGGGTGCTTTTGATAACCCGATGTCCCCGTCGCGTTCATGCAGACTGATGAGCTCAATTGGTATTGGATGACTCACCTTTACAGCATCACACGCACACGTCCTACCCCCTGGAAGACACCCATGGTCATTCTGCTGATAGAGGGCGTAGTTACGAAACCTAAATCGGCGAACACATCAACTCGCGTAGAGCCAGCACTTCTTTCACGTGGGGCAATTGCCGATGGTGCCGTCGTGTTAGCTAGCCAACGCCACGGCCGTGCAAAGTCCACTGGAGCTGTTCACGCGCATTGCAACGCAATAAAAATGAAACGTTTCATCTTCAACCCTCCTCGGGAAAATGGCTCGTGGTAGAGGGCTGGCTGGCACTACGTCGCACACGCTGTGCCAAACGCTCACGACACATACCCGTTCCGTACTTGAGCACTGCCAAATGCCGCTGCTGATGCACGCCGCGCCCCTCCCATGTGACGTCCTTCGGCCCTCCGCGTTTCCGCTTTCCTTGCTGGCCACGCGACAACTTGGATTACGGATCCGTGGATCTGGCGCGTGAGCGCCAGGTCCACGGATCGGGGGATGCACCCGCAACATACGCTGCCAGTGCCACTTCGCTCGGCGACGAAGTGCGCCAAGTGCTCGCGGAAACGGACGCCATCGCTGACGCGCGCGCCTGAATCCATGCTTGCGCGCTCTCGGATCTCTCCTGCCTTGCCCATCTCCTCCCCCCTCGCGACCCCGCGTCACACCAACCACTCTGGCCCAGACCGCAGCGCGCGAAACGCGGTTATCCTCGCGCTCCTGCGGGTGACCTAGTTGCTTCAGGAGCTGGCGGCGGGCAAAAGGCGGAAGTGAGAAGGCGAAGGCCTTCTCAGAAGGCGGCGGGGCTCCTCAGACGCCCTCCAGCCTTCTGAAAAACTTCCTGCGTCTTCGAAAAATGCTTTGGATGTTTTTCAGCAGGCCCTGATACTTTCGAGCCATCTGAGAATCGGCTTCACGCATGGGTGACCCTGGCTAAGGGTGACCTTTGGCCGCGGGATGACCAACGCAAGCGCGCAGGACGCTACTGTCGCATCGAATTCGGCGATCGGGGGGGCCCCATTGAGCCCGCACCAAAGGTCACTCCGGCGAAATGTCGCTCCTACGCGCCAATCCCCCCCTCCTTTGCCATCCTGCTCCCTCCCTCCCCCGCCTCCTCCTCCTCCTCCTCCTCCTCCTCCTCCTCATCCTCCTCCTCCTCCTCCTCCCCCTCCTCCTCCTCCTCCCCCTCCTCCTCCTCCTCCTTTTTGTTGTCTTCCTCCTCCTCCTCATGCTCCTCCTCCTCCTCCTCATTTTCCTCCTCCTCCTCCTCCTCCATTCTTCCTCCTCCTCCTGCTCCCCCCTTTAGCCTCTCCCCCTCTCCGCACCCTTCCAATCCTCCTCGTCCCCCCCCTCCCCCGCACAAATGCCCCTTTTCCCATGACCCTGTGCGAAAAATGTCACGCCCTGTCCGCGCACTGTTCTTTACACGCATGATCTCCAAGTCAAGAACATCTCCCGTGTTTCCAAATGGTGTTCCAGCTGCAGCGCGGGCCTCATCTAGGATCAGTTCTGTGCTCCCGTCGTTCAGAATGGCGCTTTCTCCCCACCTCGAATCACGTTTTGGGACCCTGATCCTTCATCATCGTGATCGCCCTCTTCCCTGTCTCCCCCTCCTCCTTCCAACGGTCCCCCTGCTCTTCCGTCTCCTTCCGCTCCAAGCCCCGCTGCTGATGATCGGCGTCGTTCCTCTCCTACGTCATGATCCTATTCCTCCTGCTCACCCGCCACATCCCCAAATGTACGCACCTCCCCGTTTTACCGATTGCGGGTGACACGATGAGGTCCTTTTCCCGGAGTTCCAGATCAGCTATGACACGCGTCGGCTGAGAGAGAATGCATCAGCGCAATGGGATGGGATGGGCGCGAGGGGTAGAACGTCAAATATGGCGCGAATGCACGTGCCGTGTCCCCCCCTTCCTCCTCTTCCTCCTCCTCCCCTCCACCTGTAGCGGTCGTTGCTGTCATGGGTGTTGATGTTCAACGCCGCCATCCCCCCCTCCCGGTGTTATCCTCCTCCTCCTCCTCATCCTCCTGCTTCTCCTCCTGCTCCTGCTCCTGCTCCTGCTCCTGCTCCTGCTCCTGCTCCTGCTCCTCCTCCTCCTCCTCCTCCTCCTCCTCCTCCTCGTCCTCCTCATCATCATCGTAGTCCTCCTCCTCCTCCTCCTTCTCCCCCTCCTTCCCCACCTGTTACTTCACGCCCCCCACCCTCCGTTGCCTTATTCTCTCGTCCCGCGCAACACACGCAGAGCAACTGAATCTGCCACCCCGACCAAGGTAAACCCAAACGAGCTAACCAAGCAAACGACGAGTAGCCCCGCGCCCGCGCAACAACATGCGTGTGCCCTCCTAGCTGAAGCCTTTCCCACATTTTCTGCGATCAGGGCACAACCAACAAGTTCGACGTCACACATGCGAGAGAAGGCTTGGGTCGTGACCCTGTGCCCCGAAATCCACGAGATGGCGCCACGGCGCGCTCGCGGAGAGGAGCAGGGCGGTCGTCGACGAGCACGAGGGGCAATTTGGGGAGGCCGGCCCCAATTAACCAGCGACGGATGAAACGCGCCCGCCCCCCCCCCCACGTCCCCCGCCAAACTTGGACGAACCACATTTTGCCAATCGCCAATAATTTTGAGACCGTTCGTCAACGCAACTATATGGGCTTTCTGGGTGCAACCAGAATTTGGCGGCCCACATAGCAAAACTACCCGCGAACACGCTACCCGCGTCCAGCCTGATAGAAGTGAACCCCGCGGCAAGTCCTCGATCAATCGGACGCGCTGCACCCTTCACGATCGAGCACTTACGATCTTCACCTCAAACCTCCAGGCCTCTCGCAGCAAGCGCGCTCTGGGGGCCAAGATGTGACAGCAGACTTCCCTTCCCCGCCTGCGCGAGCCCCTCCGAGCGCAACCGCTGCCATCGCGGACCCCCACCCCAGGCATCGAGCGCCTGAGGGCGAACGAAAAAGTTGAACAGCTCGGTTCCATTGACTACCTACCAGACCACCCCAACCCAACCCGAAGACCCGAATTTCGGGTTGGGGGGGGGTAAGGGTTCTACCTGTGTTTTTTCTATGTTTCCCGCCCCCCCCCACTGGAAATCGAAGGTAAATCAGGGCCTTCGGGTTGGGGCTCGGGGGGTGGTCTGGCGGGTGGTGATCCCTTACTTGGTGCGCAGCAGGCCCACCAAGGGACCGCGCGCAGTGCAGACAGGCTCCTCTGGCGCTCGGCTCCGAAGCGACCGCCGCCCATGGAGCAGATATGCGACGCTTCGCAAATACCAATCGAAACGAAGGATTGCACAAAAAACCGAAGGATTGCAAAAAACCCAAGAAGGATTGCAAAAACGAAGGTTTTTTTTGCAATCCTTCGTTTTTTTGCAATCCCCCGCCTTGAAGGGCATCTCCAAAGAGCTCGACGGGCCTCTCGGGGAACCCAAACTCGCACGCAACACCTCAAACGAAGCCTGGGCCCGTGAAGGTCGGACAGGGGAACGCAGCGCCTCTCGGCCGCTGCCTTGGCGCGGAAGGGCTGACAGCGACAGCGCAAAAGGGCCCGGCGCGCAACTTGGAGCCAGAAGCGACGGGGGCCATAATGAGACGGCAGTCCATTTTGTCACAGCTTGCGACAGCGATATAGCGGCGAGCCGCCGCGAGAAGACGCGGGTGGATGGGGGGCGGGACAGATGGGGCGGGGAAGGCCCCCCCCCCCCCTCCTCTCCTTTGGGGGGTGGGTGGGGCGGGAGGGAGGCCCGAGGGGGCGGAGTGCCGACCGCCTCGGGTCGATCGCGGTCGGGCGCAATGCGCGGTCGGGCGCAATGCGCGCGGTGTGCGACGGCCCGAATGGAGCCCGAACGCCAGGATGAGTCTCCCGCGTGCCGCGGACCAGCGCTGTCAAGCTCATCGGGCGAATGCTCGAGATCTCCGGGGCCTCGACCTTCGCCGAAAAGGCGCGCGAAGCGTTGGCCAGTGTTCACCGGCAGCGCACATAGTGCGGCAAGGGCGATTTGAAAACGCGCGCCTCCCCGCGACTGGCCCAGCCTCCGATTCCCATGACCGCGGGCCCAGAAGCGCCCCTCTTGGCAAAGCTCGCCAAGGAACGCATGGTGCTACATGTCTCGCACTGGGATGACACATGCTGCTCAACCTTGCGCATGTTGTGCTGGAGACCGCAGAGCACCGAACGAACACAATAACGCTGTTGCCGAGCATGCCGAGGCACCGATGACGGATCAGCCGCGCCGGTTGACATACACTCCTCCTTTTCGAGCCAAAGACATGAGGATGGAGACGGCCTCGAACTGCGTGTCGGACATGTCCACGTTTGGCTCTATCTGCTCGGAAATGCCGTGTGGCGGAGACGGAGGCCACCATTGCACAAGAGGATCATATCCGTGTTCCTTGTCATCCTTCTTCCAACCGTAGCCATCTCTGGACGAAATAGAAGCACGATTAGCACACACGCCATTAGGAGCAGCATGAAATCCATCACGGACAACTTGAAACTTGTGATGCCAATGCTTACAATAGAAATGCCAGGGTACCATACCTGGTTGTCGTGGCAACCAATGGACCGCAGACTGGCAAGAGGAACAGTATCGCCCGGGTATCCTTCCACACAATCACCTCACAAGAACGGCTGCCCCCTCAAGAGTTCACTTCACGGTGGTATGACCCACGCGTGCAAAAGAAAACCTTGAGCAACAAACTCGAGCCAGAACGGCTTCGGCTACCCTCCTCCTCCTCGTCCTTCCCCTCCTCCTCCCCCTCCTGCTCCCCCTCCCCCCCTCGTCGCGCGAGAACCCGCGCGAAAACCAGCCCGTCCCGTTCGCCACGATCGGGTCGGATTCCCGGAGGAGGGCCAGCTGACACCTCGGCGGCCCTGCCGGGCGCGACCCCGGCTCCGCTCCACAGCCGGCTGCCCCTTAGGGACGCCTCCAGGGGGCCTGCCCTGGCGGCTCGCAAAGGTGGGATGACGATTAATTAAACAATGGGAGAGAGCGATTAAAAACATAGTTTTCTGCGATTTCTGCCTAATTTTCTGACTGGAGGAGAACCATTAAAAAGATAGTTTTCCAGCCCGCGGCCGGTTTTTTCTAGTCGTCATCCTGGGCGCCGCCGCGTGAACACGACCCCCGGTCATTTTTTAATCGCCATCCTCCATTAAAGATCTTCGAGGCGAACCTGGCCGCGGCGGCGAGGAACCTCCAGGAGGCAGGCCCCCGAGGCCACGACTCCTGCACGGCTCGGCGCCCAAACACCCCTTTGAGTTCTGGAAAAAAATCACGACAGAAGGTCTTCCGCCATGTTCGGCCTCCTGGGGGCCGCTACGGGGCCAAGAAAAAATCACGACAGAAAATGTTCCGCTATGTTCGGCCTCCTGGGGGCCGTTCCGGGGCCTCGGGGCCGTCAGAAAACGAGTCAGGATGCAAACCAGGCCCCAGGGAAGCAGTTCGGGATGAGAACGACTCAGAATGGAAACCAGGTCCCGGGAGATGGGGTTCGAACCTCTGGGGGTCGCGTCGTGAACAATCGTGACGCCAGGGGTCTGGGCGGCGCGCGCAGGGCGACAGGGGGGAGGGGGGAAGGCTTCTTAGACGGATGCCGCTTCTCGGAAGGCGCCGGCCCGACATCCAAAGACGAGGCCCGCGCCTTCTTGAGAAGCAGGGGTGCTTCTGAGAAGCCTTCCCCCCTATTCTGCGCGTGGCCGAATGACGGGGGCCCCTGGAAGTATCGACCCGCTCCCTGGCCCTGGTGTTCTGTTCGATCCCGAGTCGTCTTTGGAATGTCCCCTGGGGGCCCAGCGAGGGCCGCCGGAGCCCCCGAAAAACAAAAAAACATCCATCGTGAATGGTGTCGCGACGCGAGGGGGGGGATGAACAACGCCAGGGAGGGCCACCGCTGTCTCGTCTCCCTGACATCCGCCGATGCGACTCTTCCAGTCCGCGGCCCTCGAACTCCCGACCGGTCCCCAGGAGGGTAGCTTTACGTCCCCGAGGCGTTTTCCCAGACCATCCAGAAATTTCCAGCAACGCTATGCACGAACCAGTCGCGACCGAGATTCGGCCCTCGGTCGTAAATTCAAGTGACGGGCGAATCGTCGATATCTTCGGGCCCCTCGATCGGACCCCGACGCGCCGCCCCTTCGCTGCCGCGGCCCCCCCTCTGGTAGCGACCGATGTCCGGCGCGACCGCATCCTGGTACCGACCACTTCTGGACGCGGATGATCTGGGTGTGTTTGTCCCTGTGCCTTCCGCGGCCCCCCAGGGCTGAACTCGAGGAGCACAACGCCGCAGGCTGACAATCGGCGACGAGCCCGGGGGAAGTGAGAAGGAGAAGGACTTCTCAGAGAGCTCGGACGTCCCTTGGCCTTCTGAGAAGTACCACCAGCCCGATGGGCGTAGGTGGTTTAACGGATGTTGTCTTCACTCTCTGCCAAAACACGTCCTTTCCATGCTCGGAGGACGGGTTTTCCTCTCCCTCTACTCTCTCCCCTGGGCCTGGGAGGGGGGGGGCGCGGGTTGTGTTACCGCCCAGGATGGCATAAGTTGCCCCACGAGGGCCTCAGAGAGCCCAAGATGGCCTCCAAGGCGGCTCAAGATACCTCAAGATGGTTCAAGGTAGCCTCCGAGACACATCCAAGAGGCCTCAAGACGGCCCCAGGACGGTTTCAAATGCCCTCCGAGCCCTCCAAGGACCCCCCAAGAGGCCCAAATCCTTCAAAAACCGTTGGACAATCAGTGTTGATGTCTTCTCACCTTTTAGCTTCCGATGGGCTCTGGGCCTCTACATGGCCCCAAGACGGCCCAAGAGCGCCCCAAGAGTGGCCCAAGAGGGCTCCGAGAGGGCCCCAAGAGCGCCCAATAGCGCTCCAAGAGCGCCAAAAAGAGTTCCCCAAGACACCCTTGATGAGCATCCGATGGGGAGACCATCCCCCCCCCACACACACCCCAAAGGAGCCCCAAGAGGGCTCCAAGACCCTCGAGATAAGCAGCAAAAGCGCCCCAAGAATGCCCCAAGAGGCCCCCAGAGGGGGCCCTTCAGAGAGGTCATAAGATGGCTTTCGTCGTCCTTCAAGCACCTCTCACAACAACATACCTCCAAAGCCTGACTTCTCATCCTCCCTGTCATTGTCCGTTATTTCCCTCCTCCTTTCCTGCCTCCTCCCTCCTCCGCCTCCTCCTCCTCCTCCTCCTACCCCCAAGATGGTCCCTGGAGGTCGAGCATGGCTCCAGATAGCCTCCGACAGACCTCCAAGACGCCTCAAGACAGCCATCAGAAAGTCCATGATAGCTGAGCATGGCTCAGGATGACCTCCAACAGCCTCTAGCCGAACATGGCTCAAGATAGCCGCCAAGAGGCCTCAAGAAAGCCTCCGATCGTGCCTGAGTAGGCTGGAGGGGATATTTTTTTGTATAGCCGCGGGCGGAAGCGCCAGCGGCGGCGAGTAACGGTCGGGCCGCGGCCGAAACTAATTGGCCGGACGCGCGCGCGGGCCGCGGCCGGCGCCGGGGCGGCGGGTGCAAGGGTGCTGCAACCCAGGGTGTCTGACGCCCAGGGACCTGCACCCAGGGAGTCTGTAACTACGCTGCCAAAATTGCGCGATGCAAATAACCCCAAGGTGTCTGAGGCCATGGCCAAGCAGTATGCCGCTTGGGTACACTATCAGAACAGTAGGGAGTCTGCAAACCTCGGCGCAGCGAATGGCGTACCATAGGGTCCCAGGGTGTCTGAACCATGCTCAAGCAGAAGCGTCCGAGAGACGCGCAAGCTGTCGCCTGACTGCATACCGTAGGGAGAGGTTGGACTCTGACAGCGCCAGCGAACCGTCGCAGCTTCAGAGTACGCACCAACGCAGCCAAAATGGCGCGAAATTCGTGGCGTCTGTAACCGAACAAGGCACGTCAGGCCCGGGAAGACAACCTCGAACAGAGATGCGTTCGCAAGCGAGCCATCAGGTAACATGATGTAGGCTGGAGGGGATACGCGAAGCGTCAAGACTTCTCTAAGCCTTCCCGGAAGACGCAGAACAATTCTCAGCAGGCGCAGAGGCCCCTGAGAAGCCCCACCGCCCTCTGAGAAGGGAAGGCCTCCTCGCCCGCGCTCCCCCCCCCTCGCTCGCCGCCGAGACAACGCCGCCTCGCTGGAGCACCGGGCCACTGGGCCCTCCTCCGGGGATGCGCAGCCCAGGCCGCCGGGCACGTCGCCGCAGTCGCCCCGGTCGGTGCGCAGCGACAGGTTCGGCCGCGCGCCGCGCGCCGCCGCCACGCTGAGCGCGGCGGCGCGCAGGGCCAGGATGGACCCGCCGCCGTCGGCCAGGGCCTCGGAGTACTGCACCTCTCCCGGGGCCGCCGGGGGCCGTGCCCGGACGTCTTCGGGCCGTCTTCCGGGGACCCCCGGAGGAGGAGGAGGAGGAGGAGGAGGAGGAGGAGGAGGAGGAAGAGGAGGAGGAGGAGGAGGAGGAGGAGGAGGAGGCCCTCGCGTCGTGCAGCAGAGCGTGGCGAAATGTGCTCGCTGTCCCATGTTTGGGGTCGATGTGGGTCCTCGCCTGGTCCTGGGACCATCGCCCGGCGACTCGGGCTGGACTACCAGTGGGGGTCCACGTCATGAAGAAGAGGTATGCGACGTCGGGGTCTGGGTTCGGGGCCTCTTGAACCATCTTGGGGCCCTCTTGGGGCCCCTTTGCCAGGTGCCCTGCGTTGTTTTTTGGGCTATCTGGATGGCATCTGGTGCCCTGTGTGGCCGGGGGGAGCCCGAAAAAGTCAGAACGCGAAACCCCTGCGCGATGCAAACATCTACGGGGCACACATGATTTGGACCCCCGCCCTTGGGGCTCCAGGCGAGACGCTCGCCTCGCCTCACCCCCCGCCCTCCGCCCGCCCCACCCTGTCTCGGAGCGCCGCGCGCATGCCTGCTCTGTGTGCGCATCCCGCTCTCTTTCTCGACGCAGTCCTTACCTCCCAGGAACCAACATCAAGCAATCGTGTCTTCGAAACGGCTCCGACACTGCAACGAATCTGGCACTACAACGACTCCTGCTGCGGTTCCGACCAACCTGGTGCTGTGGGTATCATATCCCGAGTCGGCACGTTCATGACGAGCGTGGGCCTGACCAGCCGAAGCACGGAATGGATATCTCATGGCTTACCCAGCTCAGCGTCCCTCATTCCTCCTATGGGCACGCGTGACCTGCGTTCAAAGAACATGGTACGATGCAGGACGACAGAGTCTGCCCAAAAGCAAACGCGACCCGAGTTGGGCAGGCGACCTCTCCGCTCAGAGGGCCACGTGCGCGGCGACGCCGACAGCGAGTTCTGCTCGGCATGGGCAAGCGCTGCTGTCAGTATCCGTCCCCATTCTATCCCTCACCTCGTACCGATGCTGCCATCTCCTTGGGCGCCCGAGTTATCCGGGGTAACTCGGGTCCGGGGTAACTCGGGTTTGGATTCCCGTAAGACGAACCCGAGTTAGCCCTCACCCGAGTTACCCCTGATGGTTTGGGGCCCTGGACGCCCGAACTACCCGGGGTAACTCGGGTCCGGGGGTAACTCGGGTTCGGAATCCCGAAAAACGAACCCGAGTTAGCCCTGACCCGAGTTACCCCTGATGATTCGGGGCTCTGATCTCCCGTTGTCACTGTCCCTCCCCTCTCTCACGCCGCTCCGCGGCCTACCGGCATGTTTCGCCATCCGGCGACACAGGGCATCCACCCGAAGCATCTCAGCCCCTGGGGGCAGATTGGGCCTCTTGGCGGCGTCTGGGGGGCATCCTTAGATGCTCCTTCTGTGGGCCTTCCTGGAGTCACTCACTCTACTCATGCGTCGGATGCTGCGTCGAGCGTCCGTCGACTTGACTCGAACTTGACTCGAGCTTGACTCGCGCTTGAGTGAAGCTAGAGTCGAACTTTGTCGAACTAGATTCGGACAAAACCGTTGGGTGGATCCCGGGAAGATCCCCCTAATGAACATCCAAGCACGCTGGGGCAATTCGAAAGCGTCTGGGCGTTCTCTTGGGGCATCTTGAGGTCCCCTGGGACCTCCTGGAAGCTCAATGCTCCCATGAAGGCGCCACCACTGAGATCAGAGCAACGTGCCCTGGCTCCATCAGGATACTTCCGGGATAGATGAGATACAGATGTCCAGCACAAGCGGGGGGCGAGGAGGAGGGAGAGGAATGGCGAGCAATCGAGTTGTGCACAGACGGCCCTCCCAAGATCGTCTCTCAGCTGGCATCAAAAGGCCAACCAGGTTGTCCCAGCTGGTCGAGGCCAGCTGGGGCTACTCGGGAGGCCCGTTGAGGCCAGCCGGCACTGCGCAGGACGCGGCTGCCTGCGCGCATCCCGCAGCCCTGCCAGACAAGTATGGGGTATGGGCACTTCTGGCTTGGGGCAACGAACCTATACTACACGTCCGGACCACACCTGGCCTCACACAGAGCGCGGCATGCGATCACGATGCCATCCCGTCGCAGGCGCGCTAACTGGGTGTCGGCCCGAGGGCAACACGGACTCGTCCTACAAATGCCACACCACCCCACATCATTCACAGAGCCGGACCAGAAAACAATCGACACTACCCCACCTGTGGCCCCACGGGGAGTTTTGCGTATAGCAGCAAATCTGGCGTGTTTTTTTCTGCATGGTATACGCAACGGCCTCCGATGGGCCGCAGCGCAACATGGAGGGCCGCAGGTGGGGTGGTGTCGTCTGCTTCTTGGTCGAAGAGCTGCCGCCTGCATGCGCGACGGAAAACAAGTTCGGCGGCAGCCTGCGCCCACCGCCAGAATGCGCCCGTGCCCAACTCTTCGGGGCCGTGCGCCGCGCCTCGAGGCGTGGCGGCCATGGATACCTTCCAGTACCCATGCCCGCCGCTCCCCAGGGACTCCAGGCGGGGCTCCAAAGCTGCGGGCATGAATGCATCCTGGCGGTGCGCTGCGCGCGCCTGCACGCTACGTCACTGGTGTTATCGGCTCGCGGGTGTCTGCATCAAGACGTCCATGGATAGACGGTTGACCACGTCGACAACGTAGGCGTCGCGAGACTTCTTGCCATACACGGTGATACCCTTCAAGGCGGCCATGGGCCAGAACATCTGCCCGCACCGCTTGGCAACGACCTGGAGGCGGTCGGACAGTTCGGGGCGACCGACGATGCTCGGAGGAGGGCCAGGTGAGATAACGGTGGTTCTCCCAGACGGCCCGAATCTACCCACAACATACTCGCCATCGCTCGGACGTCCATTCCCTGTGTTTTTGTTCGGTCTCGTGCGTGGTTTTTCCGCGAAACGATCAGGGATGCTCCTCCATCGCCCTCGCCGAGAAAAAATGCACACGTCCGAGCGATGCCATGGGGCCCCTGGGGTCCATCCTGACCTGTTCTCCGACGCCGATCCGGCCGCGGCGACGGGACGCCTCCAGGAGGAGGCCCGGAAACGTACGAGGAACGCCAGGGAGGAGAAGCGCCGTCTCGCCTCGGCGGAGGACAAACCTCCCTTTAGTAAACCTCCCCTTTAGTAAACCTCCCCTCGCGAACCGAAAGCGGCCAATTCCTTAATCGACGTGTCAGGGTAGGAGGTCTGTCAACCTCCGAATTTCGTCTCGGCTGGCCCCCCTCCGGGATGATTGTCCCCACGCGGCCCTCGACTGCCAGCTTGGACCACACGCCACTGTCGGCACACGTGGGGTGCTCCCGGCCGCTGTCCGTGCCGCAGGTGAGCTCCCACTCGGGCCAGATCTCGTGCTCCGCGCCGAAGAGCATCGAAGAACAAAGCACTGCACAGACATAAACTCTCGGAGGTCCCCGAGGACTCCGTGGGCCGGCGCTGGACACCCGAACTCGGACTTCAGGGGAGCCCAGCGCGGATCCGACGAATCCGCTCGGAGATCAGAAAATTCATGTGCATGCGGTGTTCTCTTCTTCGAGATCAGGCAGACCTTGGTCAGGTACACAGGCGACTCCAGGCTCGCCACCAGGGGATATCGGAGGAGAGCCAGGTGAGGCAACGGCTGCTCTCCCGCCAGAATCCAGACCCGTCCAAAAAATCGTCGGCGCCCGGCCCCTCCCCGGGTCCAGCCGGACCCGGATGCCGAAGCGGATCCAGCCGTGGCGACGAGGGAAGCTCCCAGCAGGCACGACGTGGGAGCAGAGGGCTGCCGCTGTCTCGGCCGGCCCTCCTCCGAGGATACCCAAACCCGATCTGCCACTCTCCCGAGCCCGCCGACAGGTTCACCGCCTGCTGGGGGTCGCAGAACGACGTGATCCTCGCGGCCTGGACCTCCTCCGCGGGCACGATGCCGGACCTCCTCGAGGTGGGCTGGTTGCCCACGGGCCTCCCCAGCACGTGGTACATCATGACCGCGTCGCTATCCTCGCGCGACAGCAGGGGCCGGACCCTGTCGCAGAAAAACTCCTTGTCCTGTGGAATCCGAAAGGTGCCCATGCCGCTACTCCCGGGACCTCTCCCGGGCAGCGTTCTCATCCGAACTCCGAGGCGAATCCAGCCGTGGCGACGAGGGCCTCCCAGGAGCCTCAAAGACGGAAACGAGCCCATCGGCGGCGGGATCGCCACCCCTTCCTCCTCCTGATGTCCATGACGGTGAAGCGGAAGTGCCGCGCCAGGGGCCGCAGGATCTCGGCCCTGCCGCCGTCGCGCCCCCGCAGGGCGCCCCCGAACGCGTCCTCGAGCCTGGGGCGCTTGCCGCCCGAGTCCTCGGCGCCCGACCGCGCTGGCCCCGCCAGCGGTCCCAGGAGCCTGGAGGGGCAACGACGAGGGGGGGGGATCGCTCAGGGGGGGGGACATCGACCTGGCACCGTTTGACATCTCGAGCCACATGTGTTGGCTGCCCCAGGGCCCAGAGAGGGCCTCCAGAGACCAAGCCTCGTGACAAACTGGCCGTCACGATCATCCTGGAGGAATCTGTGATAGGGGTCGCTGCGGGCTTGGGGGCTGAGGGGGCACATCAGAGAGGGACTGGCTCGGGGGAATCATCGAGCTTGAATCGGCGGCGATACGTCCCCGATAGATCGGCAAAACGGCTCCCGATGGCGAATCCGCGCGTTCCTGGGCGGTGTCGATCAATGGGCGACTGGGGGTCGGTGCACGGGTGCACGCACCCCCCACCGAGCCTGTCCCCCCGAACTTACCCCTGAAGCCTGGGGTCGTCGGCCGCGCACGCTGCCCACTGCTCCAGCCGCGTCCACAGCTCCTCCTCGCAGACGCCGAACTCGTCGAGCCGCAGGAGCCGGGACACGACGGGCCAGGGAGCTGCCAATGAGCGCCCCTGGCCGGGGGGGTGCCTCCAGGAGTTCCAGGGAGTACCAGCCCGGAACAGATCCCTATCCCCATGCTGGGGCACCTCCTCATCACGATGCCAATCTTAGGGATTCTCTTATGTTTTGAAGGCGAATCCCTAAGATTGTCATCGCCTTTCCCAGACCACCGACGTCATGATTTTTTCATGACGCGGCCCCCAAAGGTCCGCACCCCTTCCCTGGGACCGGTTTTTCATCCCGAGTCGTTTTTTGACGGTCCCGAGGCCCGGTGAGGGCCCCCAGAGGCCGAAAATAGCGAAAAACCTCCCGTCGTGATTTTTTCACGACTCGAGGAGGTCTGGGTTTGGCGTGCCAATCTTAGGGGTAGGGATACGGTCGAGGCTGGTAACAGGGAGGCCTCCACGGCCCTCCAGAGCACCTCCTCATCACGATGCCAATCTTAGGGATTCTCTTATGTTTTGAGGGCGGATCCCCAAGATCGTCATCGCCTTTTGGCGTGCCAATCTTAGGGGTAGGGATACGTTCGAGGCTGGCAACAGGGAGGCCTCCACGGCCCTCCAGAGCGCCCTCTAACGCGCCGTCGGCGCCCGGCGCCCCACGCGGGGGCGTCGGGGGAGGGAGGAAGGCTCCTTAGGAGGAGGCTGCTCCTCAGAAGGGCCCTCGCCCTACATCTACGAGCAAGGCCCCCAGACCTCCTCGGGTCGTGAAAAAATCACGACGGGAGGTTTTTCGACATTTTCGGCCCCCGGGGGCCCTCACCGGGCCTCGGGACCGCCAAAAAACGACTCGGGGTGAAAAACCGGTCCCAGGGAAGGGGTCCGGACCTTTGGGGGTTGCGTCATGAAAAAATCATGACGTCGGTGGTCTGGGCCCGCGGCTCCGAAGAAGCAGGGGTGTTTCTGAGAGGCGTTCCACCCTCCCCCTGCCCCCCTCTGCGCGCGGCTGAATCGGGGACGTGCTGACCCGGGTCAATCCAAGTCCGGGTCCATCGGGAGTTGCAGGATCCTGCAGGCAAGCCCGGATCCGTGCGCCCCTGGCTCTGCAGGATCCCGCAAGATCCCGCGCTCTGACTGACCGCCGTTCGCATTGACCCCCGCCTCTTGAGCCCCGACGGAACGAGGCCCAGAGGACCCCAGTGTGTGCGAGGCGAGTGGGTGTGTCCATAAAGCACCGCCTGGGGGTCGATCTCCAGGGACCTCGGCAGGCGCGAGACATGGAGACGTTTGCCCCCAACCCCCACCCCTCCATGGCCCGAGTACAGTCGAGGCGTTGACCTAAGGAACCCTAAATAAGGAACGAGGCCCCTTTTTTCCATAAGATCAACTTCGATTTCCGATCGAAAACATAAGGAAAGCCTGAGGCGAGCAGTGAAACACTTAGGGAACGCGGAGCCCCTCCCCAACCAAAAGGGTTCCTTCTTCAGGGCCCCGACTGAATATCCATAACTATCCGCAGACTTCTGGGGCCGCCGAAAATCTATCCCCCAGGTGGTGGTTGTGAACTACCCCCCGCCTCGGACAGTGGCTCCAAAACGGAGCGAAACGCTGGGGACCCCTTGGGCCAGGGCCGCCCTTGGCAGCCCCCGCGATGGAACCGTGGGCGTGGACGAACGAGCTCGCCCGGAGCACCCGCTCGCTGTGGAGCAGGACGGTGCACCAAATCTGCCTGTACACGTCGTCGGGCAGCGGGAAGCCGGTGGTGGTGGCCAGCGAGAGGACGCGGAGCAGGTCCTCCGCGTCGACTCTGCCGAGGAAGCGGACGCACTCCTCCTCCAGCTCCCTGACCACCGAGGAAAACAGGGGCTGCGTGAACAGAAACTGTCCCAGACATGCGACGTCCTGATTTTTTCAGGACGGCGTCCCTGGAAGTCCAGACCCTTTCCCCGGGGCCGGTTTTTCGTCCTGACTCGTTTTTTGACGGTCCCGAGGCCCGGCGAGGGCCCCCAGGGACCGAAAATAGCGAAAAACCTCCCGTCCTGATTTTTTCACGACGCCATCATGTCTGGGGTTGCAGCTCTGCGCGGGCCTCTTGGATCGGCGCTCGGCCCCCCCCTGCCGGCGCCGGCCCGGGCGCGCTCCACGAGCCAGGGCGGCCTCGGCGCCGATCGAAGTGATCCGCCCGGAGCTCCGACAGTCTGTGCTCGACTACCTACCAGACCACCCCAACCCAACCCGAAGACCCACATTTCGGGTTGGGGGGGGTACGGGTTCCATATGTTTTCTCGATGTTCCCCGACCCCCCCCAACTGGAAATGGAGGGCAAATCGAGACCTTCGGGTTGGGTTGGGGTGGTTTGGTGGGTGGTGAATGCTCGTGCAGATCCTCCCTCCTCGAGATCATGTACATCTGCGCGGCCTGCATCGTCGGCACCACGGTGTCGGCAGACAGCTCGGGGTCCAGGTGCGCGGCCGCCCGCAGGATGCCGCCGAAGGCCGCAGGCGTGACGTCGGGCAGCGCCACCTCCTTGGTGGCCCCCTCGCGGAATGCCCCGTACAGGGCCTTGTCCAGGGGCTCCGAGATGTGCGGAGGAGGGCGAGCTGAGACCATGGCGGCCCTCGCGCCCGGCCCCACTCCGCTCAAAACGCGTCCCCAGACCCCTCCCCAGCCCCCGACGTCATGACATTTTCATGACGCGACCCCCAGAGGTCTGCACCTATTCCCCAGGGACCGGTCTTTCATCCTGCATCGTTTTGTGACGGTCCCGAGGGCCGGTACGGGCCCCCCAAATGCCGCACATATAGCAAAACCTTCCGTCGTGATTTTTTCATGACTCGAGGGGGTCTGGGATCCCAACTCCGCTCAAGACCCGCCCCTGGAGGATCCGGCCGTGGCCACGAGGAGCCTTCCAGAGGCCCAGCAGAGGACGAAGAGCGCCAGGGTTGAGTCGGGCATGTCCCTCTTCAGGAGGAAGATCCAACAAATCCGTGCAGAGTAGCCAGGGTACGACTTTCCCCTGGCGTTTTTTGGCAATGTTGGAATCTGACTGCCAATGCCCGGAGGGCGGCCGCCCCTGCCGAGGTGCCGCGCCCCCGCAGCGCTCCGCTGCCGTGCCGCCGCGCCGCTCCCGCCTCCCCAGGAGGAGGAGGAGGAGGAGGAGGAGGAGGAGGAGGAGGAGGAGGAGGAGGAGGAGGAGGAGGAGAAGGAGGAGGAGGAGGAGGAGGAGAAGGCAAAAGGTTCCTTCCCAGAGCCACCTGCAGGGGGCCACGCCCGACCCAACGCCAAAGGGGGGGCTGACAGCCGCTGCCTCGACCGGCCCCCCTCCGACCCTGACCTTATCCGGAGTGCTCAAGACTGGCCATCGTCGGACGTCCATTCCCTGTGATTGTTTGGGTTTCGTGCGTGGTTCTCTCGCCAAATTATCAAGGATGCTCCTCGATGGTCCTCGCCGAAGGAAAAAGATGCACACGTCCGAGCGATTCCAAGAAGAATACACGTCGGTCGGAGGAAGTGGGTGGATTGGGTCCAGTTCCTCCCAGAGAATGATATAACACAGCAGAAGCATGTCGACTCTGGAAGTAGGTAGGCGGATATAGTAGATTGGGTCCAGGTCCTCCCAGAGAACTATATAACACAGCAGAAGCATGTCGACTCTGGAAGTAGGTAGGCGGATGTAGTAAATTGGGTCCAGGTCCTCCCAGAGAATAACAAAACACAGGAAAAGCATGCCGATTCTTGAAGTAGAAAAGCGCTTGAAGTAGATTGGGATCTGGGAATCTAAAAATACCTACTGTCAACGACTGGCGTGTAGCCCTCCAGACCTGCAGACCTACCCCCGGACCCCCTCGAGGCATGAAACGAAAAAAACACGACGGCCAATTTTTCTATATTTTCGGCCTCTGGGGGCCTTACCGGCCCTCGGGATCGTCAAAAAACGACTCGGGATGAAAAGCCGGCTCCGGCGAATGGGTCCGGACCTCCGGGGGTCGCCTCAGAACAAAGGTCCTGACGTCGGGGGTCTGGGATCTGGACTGCCTGAAACCTCCCCAAACCACCGACGTCATAATTTTTTCATGACGCGACCCCCAGAGGTCCGGACCCCTTCCCTGGGACCGGTTTTTCATCCCGAGTCGTTTTTTGACGGTCCCGAGGCCCGGGAAGGGCCCACGGGGGCCGAAAATGTAGAAAAACCTCCCGTCGTGATTTTTTCACGACCCGAGGGGGTCTGGGTCGGCAGGAATCTAGACGTCGAGGCCTTGGTGCCATCCTGTAGCCCCCCTGGAAGGTCAGGGGGAGATGTTCGCCACCAGCGCGCTCAGGAAGGGCACGCGCTCCGCGCCGGGGCCCAGCACGGCCACCGCGTCGAAGAAGCGCGGGTCGCGGAGCAGGCGCTCGGCCCAGGCGTCCTGCGCGCGGCGGAACGGCTCCCGCTGGCCCATCCGGAGCGTCGAGAGGGGCCTCGGGGCATCTTGGGCCAGCGCCCGTCCTCGAGAGGGCTTGAGCCGGAGTGGCTGCGTCAGGAGGCCACTCCTGGCAGGTTTTCAGCTTTCGCAGGAACGGTCGAGGGCTATGACCTCGAAGCCCGGCGCAGTGGCCACAGCCAGATGAGGCCCGATTGGGCCCGCCATCCAGCCCAGGATGAAACTGGATGGAACAGGGTTCCGCGCGGGATTGAGCGGAACTGCAGTGGGTTGCAATATACTGGAGTGGGGTTCCTGAGCCCGCATGGCTAGGCAGGTCCTCCTGGAGGAACACAAACAGGATGGTTCCGGAACCGAACCGAACAATTCTCTTTGGAACCGAACCGAGCGGAACCGAACCGAACGGAACCGATGGCTACATGTGATTCTGCTTTGTCAAAGCAGAATCACATATAGCGATCTTGCTCAAGTCAGGAGCGTTGAATAACGCAGGGGCTCTTCTGGCTACTGCAGGAACGTAGAATAACGCACGAACGTTGAACAACGCAAGAACGTTGAATAACGCAGGATGAGTGTGGCGGCCGGCTTGAGGACCCGAAGAAGGGCGACAAGCTGGCCGCCACAGTCATCCTGGAAGAAGCTTTTGTTGAAGATTGCTGCGAGCCTGGGGACTAAGACGGGGAAACGTCCGGAGGGACCTGGCTAGGGGGGAACATCGAGTTTCAATCGGTGATACATCGACGATGGCTTTGCGACAGGCTCCCGATTACAAATCCGAAAGCTCCTCGGCAAGGTGGGCTATCTGGCCCCTATCGGTGATGAACGGGCGATTGCGGGTCGCTGCGTTCCCACACCAGTCCCCCTCCCCTGACGTTGCCGCTGAGACCTCCCTGGCGAATCGTCCAGTTTTCGGGCCAGAATGACTCGTGTCTCCAGCGGCCGTTCGGGACGACTCGGACACCTCGAGAACGCCCTCGGGGAGGCCCAGCTGATGGACACCGCCCTGGGTCCCCACACCCCTGACATCACATTCTTGGGCAGGACGTGGGCCCCCTGCCCTTCAGGACCAACTCTTCATCCTGCGTCGTTTTTGTTGAGGTTCTGGGGCCCCGCGAGGACCCCCAGAGGCGGAGAACAGCAAAACATACGCCACTCGTGTGTTGTGTGTTTTTCTCGACGGGGTCTGCAGGCATCATTTTCCGCGCGACGCCTGGCAGGGCGCGATTGAATTAGCGGGCAATTTCGGCCGTTGCCTTGCGGGCGGGACAGCAGCAGCACCGAAAGCTCTTGAAAGGAAATGGCTGGAGAAAGCTCTCGAAGGCTCAACGCGCCCAGCGCGCAGGTCTGATGGCATAATTCTGCCATTGCCGAAGCTTTGGAACGCGCATGGGGCGTTGCTGGGGGGCGCTTCTGAGCGTTTGAAATTTCGGGCACCCCCTCCTCCTCCTCCTCCTCCTCCTCCTCCTCCTCCTCCTCCTCCTCCTCCCCTCCTCCTTCCTCCTCCTCCTCCTCCTCCTCCTCCTCCTCCTCCCTCCTCCTCCTCCTCCTCCTTCCCTCCTCCTCTCCTCCTCCTCCTCCTCCTCCTCCTCCTCCTCCTCCTCCTCCTCCTCCTCCTCCTCCTCCTCCTCCTCCTCCTCCTCCTCCTCCTCCTCCTCCTCCTCCTCCCCCCTGAACGTTGCCCCCCCGGGAGGCAGTGCCTCCAGCAGCCCCGGCGCCGCCTCGAAGTGCGGCGCCAGGGCGCGCGCCAGGGCGCCGTAGTCCGCCAGCGAGGTCGCCATGCCGCTCTCCTGGGGGAAAAAAAGGGGCGGTCACCGCCCCCCCGTCCCCAGAACCCCTCGCGGCACGAACAAAATCACGACGGAGGAGGTGGGCGTGGAGGAGGAGGAGGAGGAGGAGGAGGAGGAGCAGGAGGAGGAGGAGGAGGAGAAGCACGCCGTCCGGCGCGTGGGCGGGAAACGTCTGACTTCAAGCGTCCACGGCCAATGCGCCTTCTAAACAGGGCAACTGCAGGACGAGGAAGAAGAACGAGGACAAGAGGAGGATACCGCACTGCATTGGCGAGCGCCGCGCAGGTCCCCCGCGCCATGTGAACACAAGGAAGACGAGGAGGAAGAGGAGGACCACTGTAAACCCAAGAGTCATCAACGATGTTGGAATCAACCCTCCAAGTTCCCTCATCCGAGGCCCGTTCAACGGTTCATTTCCACTGAGGGCACTGCCTCGCTGGAACCGTTTGAAGACCCTGAAGCATGCCAAAACATTGTTCTCGGGATTACAACGTTACGGATCCACCTGACTGCTGCATCTTGACGATCCTGAATCGCACCAGGACGCCATTTTTGGAACTCCAGCACTGCGAACATAAATGTTGCACCCGCGTAATCATGGATCTTTCCAACACATCATTTCTGGTACGCTGATGATGGGTCTTCCAATTATTTTTGAACGAATGTGCGCAGCGCTGGGGGGAGAGCCGATGTTGAAAAAAAAACGCCCTAAATCCGTGAAGCCTTTGCAGATTGTATAAACGAATGTGCGCGGCGCTAACGCGAGAACCACAATTTGAAAAGAAACCGTCGTCAATGCGTGAAGCTCTTGCACATTCAAAGCAAAAAAACGAATGCGCGCGGTGCTGAGGCGAGAACCACAACTGAAAAGGAGCCGCCCTCAATCCGTGAAGCCCTTCCTAATTTTAAAAACCAATGTGCGCGGCGCTAAGGCGAGAACCACATTCTGAAAAGGAGCCGCCCTCAATCCGTGAACACCCTTGCCACTTTTCTAAAGGAATGTGCGCGGCGCTGGGGCGACAACCGCATTTTGAAAACTACCCTGTCTCAATCCGTGAGACTCTTGCAATGTTGAAAAAGGAATGTGCGCGGCGTTAAGGCGAGAACCACAATTTGAAAAAAAAACGCCCTCCATCTGTGAAGCGGCTGCCACTTTTCCAGATTCAGACTCTTAAGTGGTCAGATAGTCTCAGGCGAAACGCCGAGCCTGCAAACTTGCCTCGGGGTGCGACAGGGAGAAGTTCTTTATAAGGAAGAGGAATGGAAGAGGAGGAGCAGGATGGGCATTTTTACTGGGTTGCAGCCCACGGGCGCAATGCCAGCGCGTACTCTGTTTGTGAGCTCCTGGTGGAGCATACTTTGCCCTGCTCGCACCTTGCACGGGCAATCTCAGCCGCGGCGATGTCTGGTGCTGTCCCAAGAAGAACTGCGGGTCCAAGAAACATTTCTCGTTCAAGAAGGTGTGCTACAAGGGCGGTGTCGAGCGTCCTTATGTGCCTGGCTCTCCTCCTTCTCGGCCTGTACAGGAGAGTAAGCCAACGGGGCGCCCAAAGCAGCCAAGACCAAGCCCGCGACGCCCGATGCCGAGCAGCTTGCGGCCTTTGTAAAGATGCCCCGCGAAGATTTCGAATCCGCCAAACCTATCCTGGGCCCCAGCCAACGCGCCCGCGCGGCGGCTCAAAGCGCGCCAGTGGCCAGCGACCTTGAGGCCGCGGCTCGGCACGCGCAGCTGCCGCGCGACGAGGCGAAGCGCGAAGTGCCCCTGGCGGGCAGAAGGCAGGCAAGCTCGAGAAGGAGGCGCAGGACAAGTTCAAGGAACTGGTCTGCCTCGAGGGCAAGCTCGAGCTGCTGCAGGAGTGTGAGAAGGTCGTCTCAGCGAAGGCCGCGGCTGCGTGAGCTCCGGTCAATGGCTCGGAGCATGGGCGGTCTGCTGCTCAGCGTGGTCGCGTCGCTGTGCCCCCCGATGATTATGGTTTTGCCCTCTTCGCGCAGTCCGAGGCGCCCGACAGCAAGTAGGCTGCGCCCCTTCGCTCGCCCATGATGACTCGCGATTGTCTTCTGCAGCCAGCCACTTCCGACGGCGAGAGCGATGGCGGTGACGAGCACGATGGCGGAGGTGGGATGGCTGGCGCCCCTGAGCCGTAGCCAGCGCACTATCCTTTGCCCGGGCATTCAGCCGAGGCCGCTGCGCAGGTAATCTTCAGCGGCGATGGCCTCGGCGCGGCTGCCTCGCCCTTCGCCGACGGCGCTGAGCTCGCCGCGCCCGCGCCTAGCGTCGCGGGGGGGGTGGGGGCACTCGGGGCGGGGGCGGCGGAGGAACGCAGGGCGTTGTTGGCGGCCAGCCTGTCGCCGCGCAGTTCCCCTCCTTCAATCAGCGCCTCGCCTCGCGCGACGGCCGAGATAAGTTTGTGCTGTCCAAGGGTCTTTCCAGGAAGCAGTGCGACAACATGCTTGGAGGCCCCAGCGATGCTACGCCTAAGAAGTTCAATGCCGCCCCTTTTGACGATCCCGGCTCCGCGTCGGACATATAGCAGCAAGCGTTCTAAACAGTGGGCTATCATCACGGCCAAATTAAGTGGCCAAGTTGGGCTCGACGCTTCTCTGGCTGAAGCCACCCCTCGTGACGTTTTGCCATTGCGAGAGTCGCGCACGCTGCAACCTGCCCCCGAGTCTCTGGAGAGCAAGATGCGCAAGTCAGGTTGGGCGGCCTCTGCGCGCGCGGCTAGGCCCTAGGCCTATGCTCGGCAATCCCTCAGGGGGCCTTGTCACGGTGACGGCGAGGCGCATTGGACTGGCCAAGCTGGATCTTTTCGGTTCCCAAATGGTGTCGGATCGCGCGTCGCTGCATCATGTCGGCGGCCTTCTCAACGGTGGCTTCGCCGTCGCGGATGTTTACCGCGTCCACTCAGCCGGCGTCGACGAGCAGAATTGGGCCATTCAGCTCAAGGCCTCGAGCACGCCCTTCATCATCGTGGTGTTCGGAATTTCACGGCAGGGGACCTGCGCCAGGACGGCGCGGTCAGACGCGTTGGGCGCCGTGATCGTCTCTCCCGAGCATGGCGCCTGCAGGCCAGCCACGCCTGGCGTCGATGACTTTGTCGTGCCGCGCCAGATTGCAGGTCGTGCGAGTGCGGACGTCGTTCAGAACGTTCCCATCTCCCGTCGCCTTCCTGTCAAACTGGTCTTGCCTCTATCGAACCCCATGTGTCAGGCCAGGTTGAGGTTCCCAAGCGTCTCCCCTTGGAGCCTCCCATTGGGCGTCTGGGCCCCCCCCCATTCCGAGGTCGACCCCTAGGGCCATGTTGGGCAGTTATGTGCTGGCCCCGAGCGGCTCATTCATGGTAAATGGGACGCTTACCTGAGGGCTGCTGAGGCCCAGAGATCTCGGGGGGGAGCTGCGATGACTTTATGGGCAGAGACATGCCTCTGCAAATATGCTGGACATCTCCCCCCCCCTGCCCCGCCCAAGTTCCCTATGCTTTCGCCCGCTGCCTGTCGGCGGCGGCAAGTCCAAGATATCCTGGCGGATTTCAGTCGCGAGCCGACAAGATCTCGCATGTCTCACCCGGTCGCTGCCGCGGGTCGTCCTTCGCGTTTTCATCGGCTTCCCGGCGCCGCCGTCTACGCCGCCTGGCCGGCGATGCCGCGGCAACCGCATCGTCTTCCAGCCCCTTCGGCCCGTTGTCTCGCGGACATTGCGGGCGAGGGGGCCCGGGGGCAGCGCCGCTCCAGCGCGCGGGCCAAGGAGGGAGAAAGGGAGGCGTGGGTTGACACGCGCTCGGTCAGTGGAATGCCGGCAATGGCCTGAGCTCGGACAAACCCCGCCCACGCCCACGGTGGCTGAGCTCACGCGGGCCGTCAAATGTTTCAAACTTTTCTGTGGCACTGGTTTCGATCAGGTCTCCCCGGATTCTCGTGCTGCTGCCTCCTGCTGCGCTCGAGGCTATGTGCGAATTCGTGCGTCGCGTTGAGCGCAGAAGAGAATGGCCGCCCATGTGGAATCGTATCGCGTTCATCCTTAAGAGGGGGTGTGGAGGGGGGGGGGGGGGGGCGCGGCGCGGCCCCCTGGGCCGCCGCGTGTCTTGGCGCGGGCCCAGCGTCGCCTGCGACGACCTCTGATTCGAGTTAGCAGTCGGCCAACTATTGCAAATTGTTTGGTCCACACATGGGCCCACGGGAAGTCACGTGACAAATGCGTTTGGATGCGGGCGGCCTGGTCCGAGCACTCCGCGCGCAAAAGCAGAGCTCGCGCACTGCTACTGCCCGGTCTTAAGAAGGCATTCGGGCCGGCCCAGCACCATCACTTGATTGCTGCCCCCGCGGCGACGGGCTGGCTGCCCGGTGGCAATCGCACCTACTGGTGCAAATCTATAGAGCGCCGCGCAGCTTAGATGCGGGTGGTGACGTCGTGCCCCTCTTGTGCGCCGTGCAAACGATTGTGCCGAGATGTCCCTTTGCCGCGTGTATGTTGCAGCTCCTTATCTTAAGACCTCTGGGCGCCGCCCAGGCGCCTCATCCCGCTGTTCAGCGATCCGTTAACGCTGCCGGCTTTGGCCTCGCGAGGCGGGGCACCGACAACCTGATTGTTGGCGACGTCCCGTCGGCACGACGCAACCTGGCTACGACGCGCAGCGCGTCGAACTTCGGTCCGCGGCCGGCAAGTCTAGACACCTGAACGACGCCCATGCCGCGCGTGCCATCATCGCCGCCAAACTCGAGGGCACCCGGCCCATTCCCGTCCGCTCGGCGCGCAATTCGGGGGACGAGGCTCGGGGGCTGCGACGGTGGCGGGTCTCGGCACCGCCCGCAGACGGGTGGCCGACGTGCGGCCTAGCATGGTGCGTGCGGGTTTTCAGAAGGGCTCTAAGCCTCGTCGCCGCGTGCTCGGGCGAATGGCTCGCGCGGCCTCGGAGCCCTCGGCGTTGTCTGGAGCTCTGGCCACGGGCGCTAGCTGGAGGTTTTTGGACGAGCGGCTGGCAGACTGCAAGATCATCG